TGTTATCCTAATGATCAAAGAGTCCGTTCAATGTAAGCCACATCCTTCGTTTTTGCTTTAATCTTTTACTTGCTGTACCTTGTCTATTTTCTCTTAGCTCTTTTCAGTTTTATACTGATATTTTTGTTACGGGTTGGTTCTACAGAAGCCTACCATACCTGCAATTAGGAGGGACAATATCTCCCAGCATTGGCAAACTAAACGGATTGCAAAGACTGTGAGTTTTCAATTTCTACAGACAGAAATAATGTTAGAAATAGTAGGCTGATTCTGATTCTATATCTTCTTTTCTTTTCCTTCTTCTCTGGGGTAATACAGGGCACTGCACCAGAACAGTTTACATGGACTAATTCCTAACGAAATTACCAATTGTACTGAGTTGAGAGCCCTGTAAGCAAAAACAAGTTTACTTTGTGTGTGGCTTTTTCCTGCTTTGGGACTTGTCTTATTTCTTCTCTCATTTTCACATTGTTCCCTCTATCTCAGGCATTAAATTAGATGCAATTAAATTACATCTTGCAATTGATTGTTTGCGCAGTTACTTGAGAGCTAATTATCTACAAGGAGGCATACCATCAAATATCGGAAACCTTTCCTTTCTCACTATTCTGTAAGATCCCTCAATATGCTACTGCTTCTTTAGTCAGAAGGCATAATTGTGAACTCTTTAGCAATTTATTTATTTATTTATTTTTTCTGGTAAGTAAATTTGTTTAGTTTGATTTTTATGAGCTAATCCTTGCGATTGCCTGCTGGAAATTCATATTTTAGGGATTTATCAAGCAATTCGCTAAAGGGTGCTATACCTTCATCCATAGGTCGTCTTACAAGATTGCACTACCTGTAAGTTCAAGAAGAATTGTTGTTTGCAAATATTAATTTGAGTTGTTTTGGTTAATAATGCAATTAAAAGCAAAGAAAATGAAGTTTCTTAACTGCCAGATGGTTGCTATTTGTGGCAGCAATTTGTCAACCAACTTTTTCTCTGGTGAAATCCCAGATATTGGAGTCCTGAGCACTTTTGGGAACAAGTCGTGAGTACTCTTCTCTTCACCATTTCCAGCTTTTATGTTTATGCTTGCTATAATATGTGGATCAACATGTTAGTGATGAGTTGCAATGCTCAATTTTTATATTCTTTTGAAAAGGGTATTACCTACTTTCTTCTAACTATAAGGCATCGGATTTGTTCAAAGGATATTGATATATAATTCATGGCTCAAAATTAATCAGAAAAAATCATGTTGCATTCCAATTGCAAATGGCATTGACTGTACTTACATGCATGTTATCTGTTGTGTGCTTATGGCATCTCTTCACAGTTTTACTTCAGCAAAACCTTTAGCCTTTTCCTAAAGTTTTGATACGATGCTAAGAATTTTTGCTCTCTTGCAGCATAAAAGCCATTTGGGCTTCTTTGTATTAGATAAATTTTGAAACGGTCCAATAAGTCAATAGGATGTCTTGAATATAGGTTCCACCAAACATCTAACCTTGTTGGCTACACAAGGGAGCCAAAAGATGCTGGAAATCGTTTGGATTCAAAATATTTTCACATTAATGTTAATGTACGCTGTAACTAATCTGCTAAGTCATCAATACAGCTTGTTGATGCCTCACTTATGTTCTCAGGTTTATTGGCAATTTGGACCTATGTGGCCGACAAGTTCACAAGCCTTGTCGAACGTCACTGGGATTCCCCGCAGTCCTACCGCATGCTGAAAGTGATGAAGTAGCAGGCAAGTTTTGTTATTTTGTGTGGCTTTCATTGTGATATTTCTTAAAAGCTTTATGCATGTAATGATAAGGTGTTATCCCTATTGATTTCTGCAGTCCCAACAAAGCGATCATCTCATTACATAAAAGGAGTGCTAATTGGCGCAATGTCCACAATGGCCCTTGTGCTTGTTGTGCTCCTTGCGTTCCTCTGGATATGTCTACTATCAAAAAAGGAAAGGGCTGCTAAGAGATACACAGAAGTTAAAAAGCAAGTGCAGCAAGATATAAGTATGCTGGTTTATTTATCCAAAGTTGGCAGTTGTATAAAATCCTGTTGCCCTGCCCCTACCTGCCCAACCAACCCTTTTCTGTGTCAAAAATTTTCTCCTAACTATTTTATTTTTTGCAGGTACAAAACTTATCACTTTTCATGGGGATCTGCCATATCCATCATGCGAGATTATTGAAAAGCTGGAATCCCTTGATGAAGAGGATGTTGTGGGGTCTGGGGGATTTGGAACTGTATACCGAATGGTCATGAATGATTGTGGAACATTTGCTGTTAAAAGAATAGATCGGAGTCGTGAAGGATCTGATCAAGTCTTTGAGAGAGAGCTAGAGATCTTGGGCAGCATCAAACACATTAATTTAGTAAACCTGCGTGGTTACTGCAGGCTCCCAGCATCGAAGCTTCTTATATATGATTACCTTGCTATGGGCAGCTTGGATGACTTTCTGCATGGTATGCTGGTGTTTAATATTTCAATTCTTACTACATGCTATATCATGGAGAATTACATGGGCATGAAAAATTTGAGGTGGCATTTTCATAGTTTGTCATGATTTAATACTAGATGTTTCGATTTTTACCTCAGTAGGAAGCACCATTTTCAACTGTTATTAAACTTCTTTGTATTTCTTCTGAATTTGCATTACTTGGGGACTTTTCTATAATCGGACCATATTTCCGGTTTATTAGTGCAGAATTGTGGCCCTCAGAGAATTGTGTGTGGCGGGGGGGGGGGGGGGGTGTGGTTTTGAGTCAGGGTTAACCATTTCTACTTTGTGAATTTGTTTGTATCATATTCTACCTGCTTATTCATTCATAACACACCAGCCCAGCCCATCACATCAAAATATGGCAAATCAAAACTTCTTGAATGCACCTAAATATGTCATATGCATTCTTTAAAATGATACTGAAATGCTTACTATTAATTGTGTTGTCTTGTATGTCATTTACATTTTCAGAACACAGAGAACAGGACAGGCCATTGAACTGGAGTTCTCGTTTAAAAATAGCCCTTGGTTCTGCTCGAGGATTAGCATACTTGCACCATGATTGTTGTCCAAAGATAGTTCATCGAGACATAAAATCCAGCAATATTCTTCTTGATGAAAACCTGGAGCCCCATGTGTCTGACTTTGGTCTTGCCAAACTTTTGGTTGATGAGGATGCCCATGTTACTACTGTGGTTGCTGGCACTTTTGGCTATTTGGCTCCAGGTATATCTTGCTCTACTGTGAACTGTCATCTAGAATGCTTCAGTTGCAATTGTTTTTGTTTGTTTCAGACTTCCTTTACATGCTTTCTTGCAGAAAAGTTTCACTACAGCATCTATAACTCTATATTGAGCTCTTATTGCACATTTGTTTTGTTAGTTTTAGAGAGTTAGGTAGGGCAGCTACACTAATGATTGGGAAACATTAGTATCATACTTGTTTCAGGTTTCTGCATGATGGCATTATTTGACTCAGAACTTCTTCAATGATTATATTTGTGCCGGCAACCTAATTCTCTATGAAGTGGAAAAAGAGATTTGGGTGATTAACTGATAAATGCGCAATAGCATAAGATGATCAGGACATTTTAGGTGTTTCCTTTAATAATATATTTTAGACATTAACGTGAGAGTAACTACCTGTCCTGCCAGTTAAACTGCCCGTTGCAGATAACTGTTGCCTCTCGACATGAGTAATTTCACATGAGACTCACGTGTAATCCTCACAAGTTTCACCAATTTGTGTGTAGGTTAATCCTCCCGACATGGGTAATTGCTGCTTGACATTTGTAACTCCAGACTACATGCCAACATGTATTCTGATAGGATGATAAAGCGTTATTACTTCAAACTATTGATCATTATATTATCATCATGGTCATTTCTAGCAAATGGAAACTATTTTTGACTTTTAATTACTTGCTACTATGGAGCAGAATATCTACAAAGTGGGAGAGCCACGGAAAAGTCTGATGTCTATAGCTTTGGAGTTCTCTTGCTGGAGCTTGTAACTGGAAAAAGGCCAACTGATCCAACTTTTGTAAAGAGGGGCTTGAATGTTGTTGGCTGGGTAGGGCCCCCTAAGTCTTTTTCTCCTTTTTTGGTTTGGTGGAAAACTAACTATTTCCATCTGTTTCAGAATATCTAGATATAATTTTCTGTTTTGCTCAAACATTTACAGATGAACACTCTACTGAGAGAGAATCGATTGGAAGATGTAGTGGACAAAAGATGTACTGATGCTGACATGGAAACTGTAGAAGCAATTCTGGAAATAGCGGCAAAATGTACTGATGCAAATCCAGACGAACGGCCAACAATGAGCCAGGTGCTTCAGTTGCTGGAACAAGAGGTCATGTCACCTTGCCCGAGTGATTTCTACGAGTCTCATTCAGATTATTGTTAAATGGACATTAGAAATTGAGTAACTTGGCTATTGCAGATAAGATCTGCTGCATATGCCTTTTTTCTGAGAGTTTTGTGATTTTCTCCCACTCTGTGGGGCCTGTATATTATTGTCTAGCAATTGATGGATGTGCATGTTGTCTTGCACCTTTGCAACTTGTATGGTTTTGCTGTATTTCTTTTATAGCATAACGTAATTCCTCAAGGTTATGAATCGCAGTTTGGTTGAAATCGCAGTTCTGAAAACAATATTGCTCGAGACAAAGGTACAAATGAAGCTTAATGACGAGCTTTAGCCATGGGAGCATATTTTCTTTTTATTTCACTGATAAAAAGAGACGTTATATGATTTAGTGGGAAGCTGAATAATTTCAAGGACAGGATTGATTGCCTAACCATCGCTTATAACTCATGCTATAACAACCGTCAGTGTCTTCTCTCGTTCTTGTTATGAAATTGACAATGCATCTCCATGAGCTGGCTGGGCCATGAAAACATCGTCCAGTGCTATCTGTAATTGTTGGTTTCTTTCTTGTCTAGGCGAAGACTAGGCTGTCATGTCATAGGACCAAGTAATCTTCGAAGCTGGAAAAGATATAGCTATAAACAAAGACAAGTCAAATCGATGAAAATAAAGAAGCACTATTGTTACATTCGGCTGATATTTTCGTTTAGCTGGTTGCAGGAGAAGACAGAAACCTGAGGCCTAAAGAATTCCATAATCCCTTACACCATAATTCGTTAGAATGAAACTTCCAATTATATACAAGTCAAAAACCAGAACATGCCCTTTGCTGCTATTCGACAAACTAAAAGAAAAACACATACACACACACACCAGAGAGATTAAATTAACTTTGCCACCGACAGGGCAGCATTGGATACTTTATATGCTGACCGTTCTCATGGTTTATAACATAAACTTATAAGTTGTGATTAAGGCAAATCTGCAGGAAGAATTTGACGCCTAAAATGGCAGACCGCGAACCATGCAACAAGAAGCTCGAAGGCAAGGTAGCCATAATCACTGGTGGTGCAAGCGGTATTGGTGAGGCCACAGCGCAGCTCTTCGCTGACCATGGTGCACGTGCCATTGTGATCGCGGACATCCAAGATGAGAAGGGTGAAAAACTTGCTGCATCAATCGGCCAGAATCGTTGCGCCTGTACCTACGTTCACTGCGATGTAACAAAGGAGCAAGATGTTGAATCCCTCGTCCAATCCACAATCCAACTGTATGGCAGGCTAGACATCTTGTTTTGCAATGCAGGCGTTATGAGCAAATCCCAGCAAACAATCCTCGATTTGGACTTATCATCCTACGAAAAGCTGTTTGCTATCAACGTAGGTGGGGTGGCAGCTAGTGTCAAGCATGCAGGGCGGGCCATGGTGGAGGGGAACACAAAAGGAAGCATCATTTGCACAGCAAGTGTTGCTGCTAGAATTGGGAGTGACACGCATACAGACTATGTTATGTCAAAGAACGCGGTGTTAGCGTTGATGAGGTGCGCCAGTACCCAGTTGGGTGCGCATGGAGTACGCGTTAACTGTGTTTCGCCAGGCCCTGTGGCAACACCTTTGCTCTGTGAGGCTTTCCGGATGGGGGTGGAGGAGGTGGAAACGAGATTTGCGGGGTCCTATTGCTTGATAAATAATGGGGTTTTGAAGGTCAAACATGTGGCTGATGCTGTGCTGTTTCTTGCTTGTGAGGAGTCTCAGTTTATTACTGGCCATAACTTGGCTGTAGATGGTGGGTTTAGACTTTCCTAACTTAATTGTATGGAACAATTTTTCCTTTTTCCTTTTTTTTTTTTGAAAGTTAACAAATTTTCCTTTTTCAGGATAAATAAATAGACTGTGTTCAATTAGCCTTTCATGTACTTCGAAAAATAAAAATGTAAATATACTTTACATAAGAATTGTGATCTGTAATAATTATGGAAATCCTCACTGTATTAAATCATTACTCCTAAATAATTCTTAATCCATACTTTATCAAGATAAGAAATTGATATAAGCATAGGCATTAGCATATGTTATGTTTTTTATTTGTGAAATAAGTACTCAATTTAATAGACTGAATTCTTGAGATTATTGAAACCCACATATGGATGCTTGTTATAAAAATAAGTTTATTCAGCATGACCAATCATGAGAATTTTCATTTGATATATTGTTTAGGTGGTCATGAAAATATTTGTAAATATCACTCATGTAAATGACCTTTAGACTTAAGATCCTTAAGTTATTTTATATGAAGATTTTTATATTTTAATATTATCTTAGGTAATCCTAGTCAAAGATGCATTGTAGCATATATATTAAGTATAAAATGAATCAGGTGAAGATAAATAAATTTTACATAAAAGAAAATATCATTTTATGTGCTTCGGGGGTTTAAATGAAGAGGGGTTTTGGGTTTAAGGTCTGTGAGTTTAAATGATTTAGATAAATAAAGGGCAGAGGGGGCATGAGGGAGGTTAAAACCACATTGTTTTGGAAAAGAAGAAGGGTGAAGAATTGAGCCAAAGCAAGCTCAACAAGATCCATTGAAACCTACTTAAAAGTTTAGCCCAGCCTGTGGAGCAGGCTTAAGGAGACTCAAACCCATCAATTTAGCCCATTTGAGGTATATTTTTGGGTTAGGCCTGTTTTTATATATATGTGATGGAGCATCCAATAAATTAAAGATGCCTCAAGTGGATCATTTGGATGGCTCCTTATAAATATCTAATCGTTGATGTGTTAATACAATAAGTTTAATGTGAATAATTTCAAAAGGGAGGTGAATTAGAATTATTTTTGAAATTTTGAAAATTTCTTTTAAATATAGAGAAAATAAGATTCTCTTAAGCTAAATTTCTAATTTAAAAATGAGCAAGACAATTTAATTCTTGTAAAGTAAGTGAAGTTGGAAATACTAATAAGATTGATGAAGGAAGGAAGAAGGATCAACACAACAATTTTTATAGAGCTCAATACAATCCCTTTTGTGGATCAAGCACAACCTTTCACTACAATGCCTTTTTATGGTTAAAGCACAACCACTCTTCTTTTTATTTTGGTTAATGTATAACTACTTAATTTTTACCTTTTCAATTGGCTAAGATATAACCACTTAAGTGAATACAATAAGAAATAAAAGTGCAACTAGATGCCTCTTAAAAGCTAAATAGTAAGTTAAGTACAATGTTTGGTAAAAGAAAGATAAGCAGTAAAGTCTTTACAAACAGTACAATAGAAGACTTAAATGCAAGAAGAGAGGTATAAAGAGAATTGAGATGATTTCTTCTTTTAAAGTTGTGTTTCAAAGTCATTCAACCTTCATAAATGCTATGGGAGCTTGTATTTATAGTTGTTGAAACTTTAAGGATAGTTACGAGTGCATTAAATGTGAAAATAGTTGTTTCTCTTTTCATTTTAAGTTCCAACGGTCATATTATATTGATGCTTATGTGCATGTATTGATACATTACCTCTTTTATTTTTAAATTCCCACTATAATGTATTGATACATTTTGGCATGTCTCGATAGTTTTGAACTTGGTTGCAAGGGCTTGAACATTCTGTTGGAAATGTATCGGTGCATTTGCTAATGTATCAATACTTTTCAAGCAATAAGTATTTTGTTAAAAATATATCGATACATTTGAGAAATGTATCGATATTTTTAAAACAGTAAGTATTATGTTGAAAATGTACTGATACATTTAAGAAATGTATCGATCTTTTTGAGATAGTAAGCATCCTGTTGCATTTCTACCTATTTATTTAAGAATGTATTGATAGATTGAGTTTGACTTTGTAAATTTTGACTTTTCTCAAGAATAGTTTTTGATAAATTTCAATTTCTATCGATACTTGTCCAAATGTATTGATACATGAAAAACATGAAGCAATAGATTTGGACCAATATGCACTTTTCAAAGTCCTTTTTCATTGTTTTTGTTCTCAAACTCATTTGAAAGTGTTATGGGATGCCTAGATTTGATATTTTAAAACTTAAATGAAATTTTGATCATTTTCATTTGTCATTTCAAAACATGGGATCAATTTGAGAGCTATAGAACTAACAATCTCCTTTTTTATGATATGACCAAACAATGAGCAAAATTTTATTCAAACTTTAGAAAATAGACTTTTTTGAATTTTAAAGGTTTGAAAGTTGTATGGAATTTTGAATCCTCTCCCTTAATCTATGCTTACCCTCAATTTAAAACTTTTCTAAGAATTCTAATTTTGAAAACGATTTGCCCTTTTTGACAAAAATGTAATGTAAAATTTGCTCAGTTAATGATTTTCCAACACTTGGAGCATTGTCCTAAAATGTTATTTATGTTCTTCCTTACTCCTTGAGTATTCTAAAATGTCATTAATGAATACCACCATAAAACTGTCCAAATATGGTTTGAACACCTGATTCATCATGTCTATAAAAGTTGCCAAGGTGTTTATAAGTCCAAAAAACATAACCAAAAACTCATAATGTCCATCCTAGTAAGGAATACAGTCTTCGGCACATCCTTCTACCTAATCTTGAGTTGGCAGTAACCAAAATGAAGATAAATCTTGGAGAAACACTATGCTCTTTACAACCGATCAAATAAATCATTAATACGAGGAAGTGGATATTTATTCTTTATTGTTACCTTATTAAGTTGTCACAGTAATCGATACATAGCCTGAATGATCCATCCTTCTTCCTCACAAACAATACTAGTGCATCGCGTGATGACACACTAGGGCGTATAAAACCCTTATCCAACAAATCATCTAACTGATCTTTATGTTCCTTAAGTTATACTAGCACCATTCGATATGGTGGAATGGATATTGGTTGGGAATCCTTTACCAAATCTATACAAAACTCAACCTTCCTATTTAGAGGTACTCCAGCTAGTTTTTCCTGAAGCACATCGGGAAACTCCTTAACTATGGGCACATCAGCCACACTTCTGACCTCTACTTAAGTATCTCTAAAAACCATAAAAAATCCTTGGCATCCATGTTGCAACAATTTCCTCGCCGTCATAACGAAAACCACATTGATTGGAACAATACTACAATCACCCTAAATGCTAAAAGACGGCTCGCTTAGGTAATGAATCTAACTAGCTTGTGAGAGCAATCCACGCTAGTGAAATTTGGTGATAGCCAATGTGCACCTAAAATCACATCAAAGTTCAACATATTGAGCAAAATCAAAGTGGCTTGTGTGTCCTTATCCCTTATTTGAACTACACAAGACTTATACTCAAATTGGGTAACAAAAATCTCCTTAAGTGGAGTAGTTACTACCAAACCAAATTCCATCAAATTACGGTCAAATCTTAATTTTACAGCAAAACATGGAGACATAAAAGAATGTGTAGACCTAAGGTTAAATAGAACATGTGCTTTATAATCACATATAAGAAAGACACTTGAAACCACTGTGTTGGACATCTAAGCATCCTAAGGTGTCAAAACAAAAACTCTGGCCTGTCCCTTGTCAGTTTCTCCCTAGTGTACAAACTCAGATGCTCTCCCTTGAGAAAAGCTGCCTACACCATTGCTTCTAGCTCTAATGATTGATCGAATAGGTTGAGATGCAATAGGTGGAGAAGATAATGTACCTTGGGATGTGGGACCTTAGCCCTCCTAAGACCTTGGTGCCATAGCACAGTCCTTCTTCATGTGTCTAAGTAGTCGACACTCATAACAAAGTCCTATTGCTCGATGACACACCTTTTCATGAACTTTCCCACAAATGGAAAAGTGAAGCTAACTGAGTATTAAACCCCAAGGCTTGCCGCCTAAGTGCATTACATGTCTACTTGTCCCGTTAAGACCTTGAAGTGACTGTGCTACTCCCCTCGTGGGAGCCTTATGATTGAGAAGCTTTATGTTGGCCCTAATGGCTTGTGGAGGTTTCACCTCCAATGCTAACACTTCGTTGGCCCTAATGGCCCTCAATCTTAGCCTTCTTGGCCTTGTCTCGAGTCACCAACTCTCTGTGATCCTCTTCTATATCCTCTATGCACAATCGACTGTAGAGGCATAAGTACCAAACACTTGTGATGCAATAGTCTTAAATAATGGTTCTGTCAATCCATCCATAATTCGTATAATCCTCATATCTTCAATAGCTACAAGGTGTGGTGTATACCAAGATAACTGTGTGACCCGAATGTCATACTCAGATACTATCATGCCAGGTGTTTGCAGCAATGCCTTAAACTTACGCACCTTGGTGGCTCGCACATTATCTGGTAAAATTCGACTGAGAAAGACTGTAATAAATTTCTCCTAAGTCAATGGGTCAACGTTAGCTAGTTTATCTCTACGTAAGGACTAATTCCACTGCTAAGCCATATCTTTAAGTTTAAACCACCTGACTCTTTTGATCATGAACTAAAACATCCCAAAACAATGCAAATTTTCTCCATCTCATCCAAGAAAATTTAAGGGTCTTTTGTTACAAAAAAAGTAGAAAATAAGGATGGTTTCATTTTAAATAAATCCGATAGTAAAAATTCAATAGTCCTTTTAGTAGACTTTGATTGTTGTTAGTCATCTTGACCCTATGATGTGCGTAGCACACTCAACTCACCTTTAAAGGTCATCTAAACGAGTAGCCATCATCTCCATGACTCTATTAACTCCTTGCAGATTAGCTACCACATTTGCCAAGGTAGGTTCCCCAGTGAGCACTTTATCTCTAACCTTTTGAGATTGAGCATCAACGGATTCCTCCACAAGCACCTTATTACTAGCCACTATAGGTGGCTCATTGTTGACAAATCTAGCAATCCTAACTTGCCTACCACGGCCCCTAATAATGGAAGCTTGTGGTCTCACAAACACATCAACGAGAGCATCTTGCTTGATTATGCCCCTTGTCGTAGATCGTGACCCTAGCCGTAGCTCGTGCCCAAGGTGGCATCTTGACTTAGATAAAAACAAACACTAAACTCAATATGGTGAATAAAAAGGTAGATTTTAAACAAACAAGGAAATCTATGTAGTCTCCTATTCACAAGTTGTGTTATAGTTCACAAACCGAAATAAGACACGATACAAAACCCAACTCTACTGACTCAAAACAAAATGCCTAAGGCTTAGACAAACCTAGGGCTCTAATACTAACTTTATCACGACCCAAACCAAGGGCTATGACTGGCGCAAGGGTATTGATGGGAGTTACCTTCCTAACGCATGCAAAACTAAATTAAACAATTCAAATCAAACACTCAAATTTATCTCATGGGAGTCATCACTACGAAACTGTATATCAAACATGCATGAACATATTTAAATCATAAAGAGATAGGAGAAAAATGAAAAAATTTTGAGTTTTAGGGCCTTTAAACCCGTTTAGGCTGATTGGGCAATTTAGGACCAACTACAGAAGGTCTAAGGTTAATCTTGGACCAGAAGATTTGTATTTCATCCATTTCACCTTCACAAGATCGACTATAGAGGGTTTATAGTTGCTTGCTTTTCACTTCATAGAATTCACCATCTATGCACTAAGGTCGACTTCTTAAGTCCAGATTGACAAAAAACTATTCATTTTAAGGCCTAATCCCATTCTAAATTCCTTCCATAACCTCTAAAACTCTTAATTGTGAATTTTCAAGGATGAAATTAAGGTTTTAAAGTCAACCAAAGTATTTTCCTAAGCTCACCAAGGTAACTAGCTAATTTATCCATGTCACAAAAACTATGAGTTTCACAAGTCAACAAGTGAGAATTATCTTGAAATCTTTGATTATTCTATTACTTTTTAAGTTGCATAATTTTGTCAAATTTAATCTTAATGAGAAAAATAGGAGAAGAAGATCATGGAGTTGGAGAGAGGTGAAAAAAGGAAGAGAAGAAAAGAATAGTTGAGAGGGAGTTAGAGAGATAAAAATAAAAAAGGTAAAATACACTGACATCTTAAATTTTTACCAAAATTATATGCAAGTCCATTACTTTTCAAAAAGAACACTCTGTCTTAAATGTGTAAATGGTATTAATGCCCAAATGTGAAATATCTAAAATGCATTTTTTCTTTTTTGACTTTTTTCCCTTTTCTCCAGCCAGTCGATCGCTCTCCTTGGATAATGTCAATCAACGTCAGTTGCAGGGTGGCCTGCTAGCGAACGGTAAGAGAGATTTTTTTTGAATAAGAGAAAAAAAATAAAAAAATGAAAAATTATAATTCATATAGTTGTAATTTTTAAAACTAATGTAAGGTAAAATTATTTTAAAAATATTATCACGTTATCAAACTAATGAAAATATTGACGGTTCACTTATGTATCCAAAAAAAGATAATTTTTTGGATGAAGTATTTTTTTTTTTTTTGAACTTGGAGAAAGGAGATTTAAACTTTACTCTTTAAGTAAACAAATTATACATCAACTAATAAATCAAATACTCGAAAGCAAATATCAGTGTATTTTATCCAAACAAAAAACTTATATTTATATTATATGTATCTTCTTTAAAAAATTATTAATATATAATTTAAAATTTATTTTTAATAATATAACATTCATTTAATAATCCAATAGCTTATGAGTGCATCGAATATAAACCATTAGCATTATAATAAGAAGCAGAATACTCTAAACATCTTCCGTGCAAAAGGATGGCTAGTGGCGTCTTGCATTTTTTTGTTTTAAGTTTTTTCAGTTTTTTACGGCGTTTGGCAGCACCCAGTTTACCATTAAAGTACCTTGTCAAACTTCAATTTCGCAAGTGGGATAGTCTTTTGAACAAGAATCATCACATTTTCTGCATAATAACAATCACCAAGACCAAACTACAGGGTGCTTAGACAATTTGCACTACTTTTTGGGCCTAGAACTTTTTCTCAAGTCAAATTCCTGAATAAGAAGTCCTTTATTAATGTTGATTTTCAAGTTGCTAAATGGACTCTCGGGAGGTCTCAAGGGCTAGTCAACTCAAGGATGCTACTTGTGGCTTTGTGCATGTATCCATGGAATTTAAAATTGGCTTAGACTGCAAGTTGCTTAATATTCCCTTTGAATTATCCCTAGGTACCCTCTTGGGTTTTGTAACACTTGAAAGAATTTTGTTCTTGAACGATTACCCATTTTAATTTCCTTTTCCCTTTCCTCTAAATCAATGAACTTGACAATTTTAATCTTACATATATCATTGATATGATTGTGATCCACAACCTATCACCTAATACTCCTTGTCTAGGACATTACCAACCTTAATTCTATCTGTGAAAAAGCAACCCTCTAGAGCCAACTTTCACAATGATTCATGTCCACATTCTAAATTTGTGCAAGAATTAATATGGAGGAAACAGAGTTGACATATAAATTACTATCAAATCATTTAATTAAGATTCTTTAAACAAAATGACAAATAGTTACAAGGTAGTATTATTTGTGCTTGATCACCCCTTGGCCATTTAATTAAAAAGCAAATAAGATTAAAAACTAAATTAGAAAAAGCTGAGGGCTTTTGATATCTTTTGGTTTTTTAAAAGTTTTTTTTTTTTGGATAAATTGCTCATTTAATTATTTAATTTTTTTGAAAATTTCTGTTGTCACTATAATCATTTAATTGACTTTAATCATGTGTCAACTCATTTGTCATGTGGCATTGTTGACATAACAAAACTTTACCATGTGACATTGTCTTTGAACACATCACATGATCAAAGTAAGCAAATTTGAAAAATCAATTCAGATAATGGTCAACTTTTAATAGTTGAATGATCAAACATTAATTTTTCTAAATATTAATGTTCAAAACATGATTTTTCAAAATCAGGTAATGAATACAAATATTTGAAAAAATTTAAACAACCAAATAAATCATTTATCTTTTTTTCCAAATCAATAAACTTTTGGTGAAACAATAACTACCAATTGAATTCATAATTAGTAAATTGTAAAATTCACTTCTAAGGAATATAATTCAATAGTTAGAACTTGAAATTTGATCTTAAAATTTAAAATTCGAATTTTAAAATGGGTAAGTTGAGAAAGGTTTAGCACTCAAGCATTGTTGTAGCTGAAAATCTCATTAAGCAGAAGGCAAATACGAAAAAGAAAAAAGAGTCCAATGAAAAACAAGGGCCGAAAAAACAAAAAAAAAAAAAAGCCAGTGGATATGGTGGATTGCCTTATCCAGTGAATGCCCCTTGGAACCCTCCAAAAGCCCACGTTTCAGCTCCAATTTTCAAAGGCCAGAGAGTTGTCCTTCTATCCTACATTATACCGCGTCACATATTCAATTGTTTCTTTCATGTTCCTTTTCCAACTCTTACTAATAAAACAATCTCATCATAGCCACCAGAATAAAGTGGAGAGTAGGGAAAACGGTGGGGGTTGGTGACGGTGGTGGGGTTTAAACTACTAAGAAATGGCTACCCAATTGAGAGCTCATTACTATTACCATCAAAGCAATGCCATGGCAGCAACAACTTTGACATCATCACCATCAATATCTTTGAATTCGTTTTCTCCATTGTTGTTCAAGGGATGTAGTTTCATTGGAAACAAGAAGATTGCTTCGGAGAGATCCGTTGGTACAACGAGCTTAAGAAGAAAGCAAGGAAGAGAATATGGGGTAGTGGTTGCATCAAGCAGCAACGTGGCTGCGCCTCTCTGGGATTCTTGGAAACCTGAGAAGACTTCTTCTGCTCCTTCACTCAGCGACATCCTTTGGCCTTCTGCAGGTTAGTAAACTCAAACTGACTGCAAGTGTAAAAGAAAGAAGAGAAGAGAATTTTCAGTTTAGTGATAAAAAGAAGTCAAAACATTTGTTGTGAAAATCCCACTGCTTGCGGCATCATATTGCCAACAAACTGAGATGTTGATAAAGTTTCCTGCCGATAAAGGGCGTTTGATTCAAAGCGTCGTAATGGTTTGAAATATTTGATCAACAGGGGCGTTTGCGGCAATGGCGATATTGGGAAAAATGGATCAAATCTTAGCACCAAAAGGGATTTCAATGACAATTGCACCTTTAGGGGCTGTGTGTGCCGTCCTGTTTGCCACTCCTTCCTCTCCAGCTGCTCGGGTATTTCATTCATGTTTGCCTTTTTGACTAGTGGTTAAACCTTTTTTGAGCATTGCATTTGGGCCCGTTACCACCCTCTTGATAAACACTTGGTCCCTGTTCCTTAAAACGTGACACTCATGTAATTTAATTCAACATCAATAAATTGGTTTAAGGGTCACATGGTAATACAAGTCGCTTGTTGACTATCACTGTATCTTGGAAGTTAATGGGGGGTTTTATTTCATCACTTTCACACCGACGTTGTTTTTTCTGGGGGACTCTTTAAATTTTGTTTAATCATCCGGCTAAATGTGGTCAATGATTATTGGGAGAAAAATGAAGTAAATCGTATTTGCAAGACCCAAGTCTTTTCTAGTGGAGAAAATTCGCTTAATGCACTAAATAGTTTAACTAATGTATAAAGACTTGATAGTAAATACGTAGCATATGACCCATGTGGCAAGTTGTAGGCTTGTGGCACAGAATGTAAGAACATTTACATCCAAAATTTTCATTTCTAACCCTCGTATTAGTATTAGAATATCAGCGCAGGGAAACTAGGTTGGCAATGCATGCAGTGGCACCTAAGATAAAGATCCTAAAAGTTGTAACTAATTACTATACAATTGGGTTCATTTAGCTGTTTGGCAGATCCAGGCTTCCGATAGAAATTGTTTATTTATGGTTGTCTGTTCTTGTGTTCCAACAACAAGCATTTTAGTTTTATTGATAAACAACAATTATTGTTAATTAGTTCATAGTTATGATGCTGCTGATTCCACTGCTGCCACAATGAGTACTTAACCACCCTTGCAACTGAGTGATATTGAATCTCAACTACTTAATCCTTCCATTCTCTGCAGATGAAAAATTTCCCTTTATAAGAAACTATAACTCGATTGATTAAAGGATCATGTTAACATGATTTAGAAAGTTAAGCTAGACTTCTGCATTTGTTGATCACTGGAATTTCATGATGGGTGGTCGGTCTTTGAATTGGGTTCCCACTTGTGTTGTCCAAAGGATTTAGAAAGTAGAATCGAAAAAGCTAGTAACAAATATCCATCATTTTGGCAACTTCTGGAAGACTAGCTGTTTCACATACCTAGTGAGGTTAGAATCTTTCTTTGTTCAACTTTCACAGACTATATGCCCTTTTGCTAACAAAACCACAACCTGATCCTCTATTTGGAAATCTCTTTCTTTTTCCCCACCCTTGAGTGCCATTGTCAATATGTGTTGGCCTGCTATTTATGTAATTATATTTTGTTTAAATTAACAATTTCCCTAAGTCATGGAAAACCTCTACGATACTTGCAGAAGTACAATATGTTCATGGCTCAGGTCGGTTGTGCAGCAATCGGTGTTCTGGCATTCTCTATATTTGGGCCTGGCTGGCTTGCTAGAAGTGCTGCCCTTGCTGCGTCCCTAGCTTTTATGATCTATACACGTTCCACTCATGCACCAGGTAGTTCTCATTGGTTGCTTTCTCCTCGATCTTCAACTTTAAATTCTATCGTGACAACCTATTTGCATAGCTGATTCTGATTCCCAAACTCTATGAGCATCAATGCAGCTGCAAGTTTGCCAATTCTGTTCATTGATGGAGTTAAGTTGCACCACTTGAATTTTTGGTATGCTTTTTTTCCTGGTGCTGCCGGATGTATCATCCTTTCTTTGATCGTAAGTTCCTCTTCTTTTAGAACCCTTGAACTCCATTTGATCATAATACAGACGTGTCTTTTCTTTTCTTTTCTTTTCTTTTTTTCTGAAAGGTCCTACTGAATTTAGAATTTTCAAACAATGAACATAACCTGCTTTCAAAATTTCCTGGTTTTCCTTTACATCCTGTATATCTTGAGCCTTCTTGGTACTTTGGAGTTGAGATACGATCTCATGATACTTGTAAACTACCCATATTCCCTCCCCATCCCTTCAATAAGAGTACAGTTGACTTACGAATTCAATCCCTAAACTTCAAACCCCATCCCTTCAATAAGAGTACTGTTGACTTATTAATTCAATCCCTAAACTTCAAACCACTTAGAGCAATAACCTTCTCGGCGGCTTGCCATTCATTAGTGACCTTTAGGAAGATTTCCATTCTATTGACAATTTTAGCCTTTTTGAAATTCCCTGTAGTGATGTGCTCTGTGTTGTCTGTGACCTGCTGCAGCAAGAAGTGGTTTGTTACTTGAAGGACAATTTCAAATTTTGATCTCTAAAGAACCGAGTCACAAGCAAGCTCATAGAATTGTATGGCCTCAATCCCATACGATTTTCACACTGCATATTGAAAGGTAACCTGGCAGCTTGTCAGCATTGTTTATATGCTTCTTCCAAAAGTTCACAAAAGAAAAGAAGAAAGGCTTGGCCTGGCACCACGTGCAACTTACAATGCTATCTGCTTTTACAATGATTGCAATGTATGTTAGCAGGAAAGCCGAGATTCTGATCATAAGTGTGTTTTCTCCCAGAAAATCACAAAATACAGGAAACCATACCATGAGAAGAATTGTTATTCTCTATTTTACTCCTTAAAATGTTTATCAGTTTCTCTGAATTTCTAATGACAAATGAGCTACCCTTCAGCAAAACTAGATGACCATGGATTTGCTTACTGTATCATCTGGTGGGAAATCGTTTGGAATGACTTGGTTGATAACTTGACAGCCACTGGGAACCAGCAACAATGCATTCCACGATTAATTCTTCACCCTATTTGTCTTTCAGGAAATGATTTGACCCCCATAAGAGAATTTATGTTTTTTTCTTTGTGTGTATCTCTATCTATAATGCTTAGTGGAAATTTGTTTAATGGGGGTCTTGAGTAATAAAAATTCGATGTCAAAACCTGACGTCAACAGGCACACAAGTTCTGAAGAAAAGAAGGGTTCAAGGAGGCAAATGCCAATCAATCATGTATGCTCAAAAAAGTATGAAGCTTTTGAGTTTCTTAGCACATCCCACTATCAGACAGAGGAATTACAATATCAAGAGACTGACTTCTGAAACTGTTGACTTCCATTAAACAATTGTATAACCATTTAACACCAAACATGTGAAAACTTTATCAATTATGAGGAGATGGGGGGTCCTATTCTCCATGTGGTTGGACAGGAGGTTGCAAACTTTGAAGTTTCAAGCAAGTCCACAATTCTCACACTTGGAATCTCAAAATTAATGCGCATTTCTTTCACATGGGAGTTAATAGATTACAGCTAGAAGATCGACAGCTTGGCCCTTTGGTTTTTTTTTTTTTTTAATTTGGACCAATGAGTAATTGTTCAATTAAAAGTCAAGGTTCGATTGCATAAAAGATATAGGGTTAGTGACTAACCCTGGATCATGTGGTGAAAACTTTTATAACATGATTAGACAACACTAATCCCCCGACCGAACCAAGTAGCAACCCAAGGTAGAGTTAATCATTATGCCAACTCAATCAAATAACAAAGGACCCACCAACCAACCCAAATACAAATAAAAGCACCAGAACCTGGTGTGAAGGATTATGAATGACTTATCAAAACTTCCTTTACTACCCTGAAACTGCTTTTGAAAGATAATCATAAACTTAAAAGATCAAATTTGGTCCTTGAAATGTGAACAGCTCTGGTACAAGGATACAAGTAACCGCGCTGGAAACGCCATGAACTGTAATCAAGTAATCCGTAGTACTAAACGTAAGTCCAAGTATTTCAATTATTTTCTGACTTTTAAATATATTACTAATTAAGTAAATAAAAAATTTCATTCATCAAAAGCTAAAAAAAGAAAAAGGGGGAAACATTCTGTCCATTTGATGATATGAGCAGGAATTGTGGGGTCATGTTGTTGAATTGTAATGTTAGATTTGAAGGAATCCCTCGGAAAAGGTTCAGCCAAAAAGAATAGCAATGGCAAACTCATTAAGATGCTAAATCCAAAAGCCAGTGGTCCATGCAACATTGGCCTCCCCATACCTGATTAAGACCAGATATACTCAATTGGGAGGTTGAGCCCTTTTTAGCTCTGCCAAAATATCCAACAGGTAATTAATTATATATTTGATTCCATTTAATTTACTTTCATTAAAGTATATGCTATTGTTACTATAAAATTGGTTACAAGATAAATTTTTTTTTTTATAATTAAAGGAGGAGAGATTTAAATTTTATTTTTTAAACGGAGAGAATATGTATCAACTAATGAATCAAATGTTCGAGTATGATTATAAGATGAATTGTTCTCAATAGGGATAAAAGTAAGCAAATGATGTCGGTACACATGTTATGCTTAGCAATCTGATATTTCTTTTCTTAAATTAAAAAAGAAAAGTAAAATGTACAGTTTGCATATAAAACCAAAATATATTTGTATAAAATTATACACAAAATATAATATTTTTTAGATGACAAAAGATATGATTCTATTGATACAAACTAATTATGTTATAAGTGCTGTTAAATTTTAATTATTTTTACATTTCAAATAATTATAATTTTTTTTACTTGTATTTTATTGTAATTTCTTAAAAACAAAAAACAAGTTAGGAAAGCACCAATCAAATGAAATCGTCAATTCAGCCATTTTTACTAGTTTCAGCTTAAAAGCTCTTTTGACGGTGATTTCGTGAAGTCATAACACGAAATAGTATGAAATCAAATTATGGTAGACAAAATCATTAGGCATCATACTTCAAAAATTTATTGAATCATTTTAAAAATTTTGAATAAATTTTTATTTTTTATCATATATAATTAAGTTTTTATATTTTTATTTTAAATTAAATAATTTTTTGTTATTAATAATTAATTAATTATTACTAATTAAAATAATACTTTTTTATATTACAAGTTTATGAAATGTTATGATAGATGCTTATATGAAATAACAATGACTATATAACATTTTAACCTTTCAGGTTAACACCACATTAGTGTCACATGAATATTAAAATAAAAAATATCATTTTGATCAAAGATAATTAGTTTACTATTAATAATAAATATTTATTTGACTTAAAATAAAAATATAAAATTTAATTGAAGAGAATAAAAATGATAACAAGTTATTTGAATTTTATTAAATAATTAAAAACTTATTAAAGTATTATACCCTGTTATTATTATTATCTAGGATTACTTTTAATCTTGACATTAATGTTTAATTCATAAATCCTCTCTACAAAATTATTATCTACCAACTAACCATTGCTTTTAATTCTTGAATAAATGGTAAATTGGAGTTTTATAAGTAATTCCAAAAAAAAAACCTTCGAGGAAAAATACAGGGAAAAGAAGCGAAAATCATTTTCTTAAGGAAAAAAAATTGTAACATGAAGCAATAGAAAGTATAGAATAAATACATAGAGGCACAGAATCCAAATCAGCAAAGCTCACAGTCACAGACATCAGCAGCTGATAGGCACGTGCGACGTGGGGGCCATAGATAACTACTGTAGACGTGTGACATCAGCAGGGGAGAAAACATGGAGAGATCTGTGCTGTCGCTGTCATGGACGTTTCTCCCCTTGTAGCCTGGGCCCCACTCTCCCCCGCTAATGCTTATCTGTATCTCTCTCTCCCCCTTACAAGAGAACAAAAACTCTTTGTTTTTACAAAAAGAAAGAAATGGAAATTAAAAAGAAAAAAAAAAACCACACCATCCTATTTGTTAATATCGGTGGTGGGACCCATTTGTTTTTGACCTGATCATCAGCCAAAAAAAACTTACGGATCAGGTGCCACGTTGGGGAAAAACGTCCACGTCGGGGCGGGGCCCGGAACAGTTCAGATTCCGTGGAGGGGTTTGTTTGGGTTGGCTTTGGTGGACGCTGTCTTTGGACTTGGACGGCGATGCTTTGCTTGCTGGTTATGTTTTTCGAGGGGTGGGAATGGGAACGTTTCATCCGGACCGTAAACGTGGGTGGCATCGGGTGAAGCCCCACCGATTTGGGTTTAGGATGGTCGGCAGGAAATCTTCGGAAAAAAACAAAAAGCCCCTCATGCTTCGAGAAACATGGACACCTGGACCGAAATCATTGGCTCTCACCATAATTGCCGTAAAGGGAAAGTCACAAGGGGAGGCAAGAAAATATCAGCTCAACCATAGTCCATAACTTCGCCCTTTTATATTAGATTGTTCATTCATTGGCTTTGCTTAACGTTCCCCCGCCCCAACCCTACCCGTACCCCTATCCCTAACCATACCTTTTGAATTGTACAGAGCATGAACTTATCACACGACATTTGATCTCTCATATGATGTCTTTGCAAGTTTTAAAACTAGCAGCAAAGCCCATGATAAGCTATAAATAAGTTGCTTCAGTAGCGTTGAAACACTATTCACCCTGTCATTATCATCAACCAGGTCAGCCACATGTTTGCCTATACCATGCTTTGAGAGCAAGCCATATAAAATTACTCATCTATGGGGATTATTTTTCTTCCCATACATCATATAAACGTTGAAAATATATATCTGTGAACTTATTTAATTCGTTATTTTGGGGAAAAAAAATAAAGAAAAGCAAGTTAAACTGAAATGTCACTTTCGATGGAAGATGAAAGAAAGGAGAAAAAAGTTTGGCCATGTGTAGCTCAACTATTAAGTAGAAGAAAAAATATACATATAAAAAATTGAATAACACTATTTAGAAGTTAATTTGCTATATAATATATGGTTTTCTTGTTGGTGATATTATATAGAATGCCAATATGACTTCACCAAACCAATTTGTGGGCATTCAGAACGTGGCTACGTCATTCTTTCATGGACTAAATTTTCCTTGCATCCATGGGAATCCTGTATCTTAATCGACTGGGAAAGTATACTCCTTCACTTTTACCACGTAGGGTTGAAAACTAGAGCTCGACAATCGTGGGCAATATTTTTAGTGAAAGGGTTTCAGATGATGCGTTCAAGCATAAAAATTAGAGAGTATAGACCTTCAAGGAAGAAAACACAGCAAATGTAGGTTAACACCTTTAAAGAAAATAAAATAAAAATACAACCTTTTGTCCTATACTGCAAAATTTAAATTCGAGTCAAAACATTAGTACAAGTTAATTAGTGGGAACTAACTATGCTATTATCCTGCATTTCTACTTATTGCAATTGCATAATTAACTTATACCATTATTTTAGGTAATGTCGACGATTACCTTGCATCTTTTCTCTTAGGTTTTTGACTATTTTAAACCAACACCAAGGAGCTTTATTAAAGTGGGTGGGTGTAATCTCAAATTATTAGTCAATAACAAACAGTGTCATGTATTATACATTGTCTTTTCAGAGCTTGCTTGAACAAATGTAAGCTTGAATGAGTTTGCCCTCATATGGCTAAGATCAAAGTCTCCCAAAGGGATAAGTGAAAATAATCAGCATGAATATGAACCATCCATTTTGATATGAGGTTACCTTCCAATTTTGATTAATGGGGCCACTAAGAAAATGTTGATTGGGAGATATAATATTTAATCATTAATTTCATTTTTATAGGCATTTCTCTATGATAATTTCATCACCAAAACTACCCCTTCTATGATTCCTCTTCTTTGAATTTAATTGTTTATTTATTTATTTTGTTTACAAGTAAGCATTACTATGTCAT